TACAAATACTTTTATAATTTACACATATTACTCAACATTTTTCCTTATTTAAATAACCATTTAGAACATTTCTACTTTTTTACTTCTTCTTTCTACTTGATAGAACAAAATTTGTCTAAAGTTTTATAATATATTTTTTCACCTGTTCCATTTTCTTTTTTGCATATTTTACTTTATTAAATTTGGTATACGAAACAAATTAATATTTATATATTTAATATTTAAATAATACATAAACCACTTGCACTTGCGCTAACAATTTTGATTTCAGTTTTCACACTTATTTCGTTTGTTGTTTTTTTTTGAAAAAGAGAAGAAATTAAAGAACCGTAACTATGTGTGTGCGCTAAAATCATTGCAGTTTACATTTTATGCCTCCATTCGTTTAAATATTTACCTAACTGTGCATGTAACACTTAAAGAAGCTAAAACAACCATTGTTGTTGTTATTATTCGAAGGCTTACGCAATTTACAGTTTTCATTATGTACATTACCCACTTTCAATTCTTAATAATTCCAGAAATATTGTCCGTAATAATTATTGTTTAATTGTTATTATTATTTTAACACATTTTTAGTTAATAACATTGTTGGTTTATATTTATTACAATATAATTTTTGTATCCTAAAACAGACACATGTACATATTTTTACTTTTGACTAATGTTGTACTCAAAATAGCTGCATCGTATCCTGCTAATGTTGATAATAGTTTTCCTTAAATGGCTTTTCAATGCAGTTCAAAATATATTAAATATTCCGCACATAATGATAATAATTTGTTAACAATATATATTAACAATGTATATATTTTGTTATACTTAAAAAAATAAATAAAATTATACACATATTGCCAATTGGCGTCTTCACATGCACTGTCAGTGTTTAATACTGGAAGCTAGGAAGGGTAGAATGGGCAAAAAGACAAATGAACAACTACATCAACAAATCATCAAAAAAAACATAGAAACATTTTGCATATTCCGTTTTTATAACTTGTACATATTTTCATATCTATTCCATTACTTTTCACTGGGTCATTTTTTGTGATGTTGGCACTTGAAGGAATAAAGTAATAAAATTTTCAAACTAATTTGGAATCATTATTTACATTATTTAGGAATATAATATTTTTAATTAAATTTTTTTAATTGATAATAATGAAAAAAATGCTTCCAACCGTCAAATTCATAAATCCAAAAATGGTAATATAAAGTGAAGTCCTAAGCTACTGAGAATTACGGAACGCCATATTGTATATCTATAAATTATCCCGATTTTGGTAAAAACCACCACCAATATATATTAAAACGCTTATTATAATCCATATTCAAAACTCAACTCCAGCCTTATCCAAATAAATTACTAAGATCATTTTGAATGAATACTCGCTCCATTAATTTATTGATTTAGATATATTTGTTATATACGTTCAGAACTAGCCAATTTTTAACAACTTTTGAAAATGAAATAACTCTGAGAATTATTTAACCAAAATCATTACCTCCACAGAAAGTGATATTGAAAGTGATTTGTAAGAAAAAGTTTTGGTTAGCTGCGATGCTTTAAGTACTTTCCTTTTCCTACCTTTCTGAATTCTTCTTTCGGTAAAGTATTATATCGAAATCATAAAGTCAGCAAACAAAACAAATACAATTATTCAAATTATGACTATGCTGTTTTAAGCTAGTGCACTTAAGCACTTTTACTCTTTTTTAACTCGAGGTTTCCTCAAAACCCCTCTCTACACCTTGACTAAATTATTGTTTATCACTTCATCAGACTAAGCAATAATGGACCTCAGATCTGCATACCTCCCTGAGGAGCCTGTAACCATTCTGAGATTTGATAACGCGGTGTTGGTAAGTCTGTCAGATTTCGCAAATAATTTCAGGGCTCTATCCTTTATGTATTTTTTGTTGTCATGGTTCCAATAATTGAAAAAATTGTTAAAAGAATATTTTAATGTTTTGCATACAATATTATCTATTAAGAGCAAGAAGAGAACACATAATTTTGTATTTACTGTATCAAGTGTGTGGCTTTTAAAGGCAGCGTTTATATTTATACAATACCTCTTGATATACCTAGTAACATACAACTGTTACTATGCAATATTAAGTCCCTTTCAGAATGGAACCTTTCATTCCGAACTTTGATTTTTAAATGTTAATGCAAAAAATATGCTTTCACAAAAAATACTCGAAACTAGTCATTTCTTATATAATTTTTCTTTAAACTTAGAAACATGTATTTTTTATTGGAGAGCAATTGTTTGTACTTTATTTATTTATTGTGATTATATTTTTATTCAAATTTTCTTTTAGTTTTAGGTTTTCTTAGAGCGCATCCTAACAACTTGACTACAAGTCCAATAACAATACCGAAGACCAGAATAGTTCCAGTTACTAACATACACACTGAGTCCAGGCAATACAGTTGAAAGACATTTAAGTCCTGTGCAGCAACACGCATGTGAGGAGCTCCTTTATGCCGTAGCACATATTCTGTCCAATAAATAGCTGCATCCATGGGTTTAATTGGTTGATCATGATAACGATTTGAGATGGCTCTAGCTTTCTTTGCATAACTCTTATCATTTAAAATACTCTCAATTTTAGATCGCAAACTTTGAGTGTCTAATTTTTTCAAATCAGCACTTAAACCAAATCCTGTTTTAACAGCACGAGCAACATTTAAAAATTGATCATAGAATACCGGTAAGCCAATAACAGGTTTCGCGTGATAAATAGCTTCCATGGTACTAAGTAGACCACCATGTGTAATAAATAACTTGACATTTGGATGGGCCAATATATCTGGCTGTGGGAACCACTTGTTAATAAAAACATTATCAGGTTTGCCTGCTAAATTTTCATCTTCAAATTTCCATAACACACGTTGGGGTAAGGAAGCAAAAACTTTCAAAAGGACATCAATAGTTTCTTTTGGCAAGTTCTTACTTTTCACGTTAGATCCCATTGAGAAATATATCACACCGTTTTCACCACCATTAATGAAATCAGCTATATCAGGTGGTAAAGGTGATGGCTTGTGACTTATATGCAAACCACCTACTTGAATCATGCTTGGCACATAGGGGCGCGGAAAACTCAGCGAGAAATGTTGATTCAACAGCATTAATGAGAAATTATTACGAACCGCTTCTAATGGCACTTTAACATGTGGAAAATATTTACTATACAATTTTTTTTGGCGTGGTATATGTATGAAGTGTGTATGTAATATTTGTAAGTTGTTATTTACAAAATTTTTTAACCGTTCCATACAACTCATCCGATCGGTAAATTCACTTAAAACTGAAGGTATATATGATGAAGGTGATATATTTCCAACGAGTTCATCAATCTCCACATCCGTGCCAAAAGATGAGACCCCAATAAGAAGTGCATTAAAATGTGCTGCAAAGCCGTACAGTACTTCACTGCGTATAGTTTCCACAATGACCAAGTCAAAGGTTTCAGTTTCAGATTTTAATAGTGTTTGGACCTCTTTATTATTTAATACATTCAATTGAATATCTTCCACAATATCAGAAAAATAATTGAGTTCCTGCCAAAAGTTGCGTTCTGTTTGTATAGATTCAATCATCTCTAAAATCAAAAATTTAAAATATAAAAAACTATTTTTAATGGAAATTATTTAAAATTTAATTGTCTTCTTTTTTAATTTTAGTATTAAATATTTTATTAAAATAAATTACCGTCTTGCAGCTTGATAATATCTGCCACCGATATATCTCTAAAATTTGGTATAGGTTTTTTCTGTGGAAAAGCATTTATTACAGTTACATTATGACCGCGGTCTGCTAGAGTCTTAAGATATGGCAAGACTAATATGTATTGCGATGGTCCTGGAAAAGGAAATATGGCCAAAATATTTGCACTTTCACTATGTCCCACAATTATTGCCAGCATATAAATGCTTATAGCTAGTACAACCAGGTTTTTCATCTTTAATTGCCAGACATGTGTTCTTAATAAAGTAACAGTTTAAACTGATAAGTGAATTCAAACAAAACAAAGTGATAAGCAATTTTTGCTTAAAGGGCACTTAAATAGAAGTTTAAAACTGTGTTATCATTTTATTATCATATTCACAAAATAATTTTAAATTGTGTTTAATTTAATCAGCATTGCATTGTAAAAATGTTTAAATATGTGTATGTACATCATTAGAGTCAACTATCGGACAACTAATTCTGTGATATTGAAATATATATTAATGTATAAAGAAGTCTGTACAAATATACAATAATAAACTATTGAGAAATATTTTCTTAATTACAATTTTTCTGATTATATATTTAGATATGAAGCAACATTACAATCTAAGTAGACTACAAGCGCAATGACTTTTCAGATTTTACTTAGATTAATCTGATTTACTTGTTTCAATGGAGGACAATTGTATAACATAATGAAACGTAATGTAATCACACGTACTTTTTGTATTCTAGGTCATATATTTTAAATTTATTATTATGAAAAAGGAATAGTACACCGCAATCTTAAAGATCTGTGTGCTCCTTAGTCGGAAAAGTCTTGAATCCCTATGTTCCATGAAATACCCTCCTAGGTGTTTCTTCTGGGTGTGCATCTCTGCCTGGCACTCCCATAGCACATGATATGCGGTTCTCTCTCTTCTCTACAATATATGCAGTCTAAGTTGGATTAGATTTATAACTTTATCAGATGATTATTCAATCCACAGTAACCGGTTTCCCGTAATAATTCTTAGGCAAATCATTGTTTGTTCTGTATGCAATCCTTGAAGCGGCTTAAATTCTAAATCCCTAAAAGCATTTTAGATAGTGATAGTCTTGGTAGCTTTTCCCAATAGAGTTCTCTTTCTTTTTCTTCTGTGCCGCTCAAAAGAATGGACAGAATTTCTTTACCTAGACCACGGAAAGGTTCTGAGCCTATTTTTGTTGAAGCCGCGCCCCTTCTTGCGAGTTTATCTGCTATTTTATTTATGTCATATAAACATAAAAAAGTCTCCGATTTTAATATTACGTTACTTAACAACTAAATCATTTTTAATCGTCATTAAAATATTGGTTTTATATTTATAAGTTTTCTATTTATGAGAGTAACAAAGTTCGAAAGTTCGGGAATTTTGATAACTACGATAAATCTTTTAACCAGACCTTATTAATATCCTTTTATGGATACTGATGCAAAATTCACTAGTATTTTTTTTATAAACATCAAAAGCTCTTTTACAATTTTTCGTCTGATTTAGTAGAAAATCATATTATTTTTTAACAAAGTTTAATATTTTAATATATAATATAATATCCATGTACGCAATGCGAACGAAAACGTTGGAACACCATAATTGTTCGAGCCTTTGCTATTATACAGCTATATATTTGTAATACAAAATTATATAATATATAAAACAGATTTTCTATGCAAGCAGCTCGAAAATCTTCAAGCAACTCGAGTGTCTTCAAACAAGTGTTGAACAAGTCTCTTGAACATTTGAATAGGTATATGTTGATCGAACATCAGGCCTAACTCTAAGTCTGCACTGGTGTGATGTTTCGCAAAATTTTTCCATAAAACTTAATTTTTTTCACTTTTTTATTTTTTATGATACTCGGGCGGAGCCAAATGTCAAATTAACTTAATACACTATGTCATCTTTTATTACCTATATTTTTGCAAATCATACCTAATCTATATCGCAACTTCCTATAATTTGGCACACTTTCATGTTCAATCATGAAAAATGTTTATAATCAGTACAAGAGTACCTAAGTGCATTTGATTATTTTTTTACGTAGTTATAATTATTATCTCAAATTACAAATTCTTATTATACAAACAAAATTAGGGTCTCTGGTTCATCAAAAATATTATTTTTAAAGAATAAATGGTGCTTATAGTATAACAACTACGCGTACTGATATTACTACTACTAGTACCAGTAAAACATACACTTATGCATATGTACAATATACGTTTATAAACATTTATATATATGTTTCTGGCAATACTATGAATGGTGATTTAAGCTAAGCATATACTCAACAATGTTCTCACTATTTACTCACCATAATTGGTCTTTCTTAAGAACGGGTCTTATTTATGGCAATATTTTACTGTAGGAAACATGACACTCTATTAACAATAGACGATGTTCTTATCAGCTGAATTATGAAAAATGCTGCCAAATAAAGAACCTTGTTTTAATTAGGATTATTTATACCATAGTAAAATACTGTTTTTATAAACAATGAATTTATTTTTATAAATTTTTTGTTGGGCAAAAACTGCCAGCAAACAAATTTCTGAAGTAATAATAAATGAGTTAATCTTAGAAGAAGTAATTTGTAAGTTTGTGCTAATGATAGGTTTAATCTTCAGTCTTAGTTCAAAGTTGTTAACTTAAACTGGTTGGTTTAGTTTTATTAATGTAAAATGAAATAAAATGAAATGAAAAATAAAAACATAACTATATTTTATTTTTGTTTTTACAACTATCAAATAAGAAAGTACGCGAGTGAATCTTATCAAGAAATGTACAATATAAACACATATATATGTATACATAATTAATTGCTATAAGAGCTACATACTTTGTGATTTTTTTAATAATACAGTTATATAATCCAAGACTTTTTATTCGTTATTACGAATAGTTTTATATATTAAATTTACAGTATAGTTACATTGTATGGGTACCTATGTAACTCCATAGAAAATTCATAAAACTTATATAAGTTTTTATTAGGAAGTTTCGTACAACTGGTTTCTAACTATTTTTCTTTATAGTCTATTATTGAAATATATCAAAACAAACCCTAAATATTATTTTCGAAATGTCCTACTATTTAAATATTTATTGCAATTAAAACTGAATATTTATCTCGTGCGAGATAAGAGCTAAACCGTCACAATTGCCTTGACAGCAGTTAAATGCTTTTGTTGTCAAGACCACCGTATAAGATACAATATCAAATACTCGATTAAGAGAGATATCAAAATTTTTGTTTATTATTATTTATAATTAAACAGATGATTTCAAAACAAATCTTAATTGAAAACAATGCATTTTACTAACATATACAGGGTGGCTCGACGATAGCCACTTGTGCTTTTCCAGCCAAATATAAGGCAATCACTCCATCATATTTGACATCAATCACATGCAACTTCTATTCTTCAATACAAAAATCAAAATGCCTTCGTATGCTTGTAAATAATATAATGAACTGTCGAATTAGCAATGTAAAAGCAAGTTTCCAAATCTTAAAACCTTAAAACTCAAATTTATTGGGATGACTCTGGTGAGGATGAGTATATCCCGCAACCGCAATGACATCGCAACAGTAGCTGCGTTTCAGCAAACATGATCCGCTCAATGATCTGGATTATCTTTGCTAAAACGATACGGATCACGTATAAAAATAATTGGCAACGCATGAATTATGCCAGTTGGGTTTGTGTTCAAAATTTTTTGATTTGTCTGAATAATTTTGGCACTACAAAAATAAGTGTGAAAGTTTTAAATACAAAAAATCTAAAAAAATAGAAAAAAAAATAAAATCTGTTGAAATGTCTGAAGTATTAAACGTAAGTTTTTATTTAGTATTTACTTTAAAACTTAAATTTAATTCTATAGTAAATAAATGAAAATTGCAGATTTTATTAGAATCATCGAGCAAAACTGACTCTTCCATTCCCTTTTTAAATACTAGTTCAAGTGTATTAAACTCAAGGGATGAAGTTCATCAGCACGGATATAGTGGAAGTTTTCTGGAAACGATCAATAATTTTTCCGTTAACGATTATTTGATTGGTATTTGCACATAAAAAATGCAATTGCTATATATTAATTATGTTTCATATTTTAATAGATTTGTTAATAAAATCCAATCAGCAAATACAAAATAATCGTGGTGGTCACAATCGGACGAGAGCAATGAAGGAATTTTATATATTTTTGAGGTATATGGCAAATATGAATACTTTTTGCGAATTTGGTATTTGTTTTGTACATGTAAAAGTACACATGTAAAAATAGATGCACCACAGCATAGCAAATAGGCTTATTTCAAAAGAAAGCATGACTATAGCTTAATCTTGCAGGCAGTTTGCGATGAAATTGGTTTTTTTATAAACGTGTATGTTGCAGAGTCTGCCCAGCGGCACCATTATGCCAGCGCTGAAAAAGTAAGCGAAGAGGTAATAGCTCTTCGTTTTTATTTTTCTTTGTTTTCGACATTTGTGTTCGACATAGGCAATTTCGGGGTTGAAATTATAAAAGAATGAAGAAGAAAAGCATATGAGTATTAAGAATTTATTGTTTTGCCTACAATGTATACATTTAGTCTGCTTTTGATTTTAGTGAAGTGCGTGCAGTGAACAATTTTTAATTTTTAAAATCAAAATAAAATCAAAAATATAAATAAAATATAATTTGTAATTTAACATAAACTCATTGTAAGTATATGGAAAATTAAGTAAATATATTTAAAATGATAATTGCAATTTTTGTTTTGTATTATGTAGATGCTACTGCGTCAAGAACGATTAATTGAGCAATGTGCTGCGAATGCAGTCATTCTAAAGCAAGGGGTAAAATGTAGTCAGCTGTTTCAATTGGAAAATTTTACAATTCAAACTGAGGAGGATTTAATTCAATTTAATGAAGAAATCACTGCCGTTGTATTAGTTGTAAGTTAAATTATATATGTTTCTTACTTTCAATTTCAACTTATTAATATATTCACATGTAACAATTTTACTAATTCATATATTTCTTTTCATCTATTACGTTATTTATAGACTGCATCAATGAGACGCGTTATTAAAAAACAACCAATTACGCGAAAGATTTCGTGGAAATTTGGAGAATGGTACCCAAGGCAAGAAGTCCTTAAGAGCGTTAGAGAATGTGACAGCAGCACTTTTTGGTATGGTATATTGTACATAATTAACTTTAATTAACAATAACATACTTTTGTATTTACAGATGCTTTAAGTACAGA